GACGTGCCAAAGCGTACCGGCGTACAGTGTGCTGCACATGGAAGCCTGCACTTGGAAAGGGAACCGAACCACACTGTGTGCAAGCATCTGTCCCCACGCATGAGGTTCATCAGCGCACCGGCGGCGTACTCTCGAGCCAAGTCTGGTCCATCCTCTGACCCAGCGCGATTCTGTTTCTCATTGCTGTTTCTCATTGCGGTCACGGAGAAGGACATGTCTGCTTGCCTTCACAAGGTTTATCAGTGGACCGATGGCATCGTTCGACACGATCTCCTTCACGCTCATCACTGGATGAGGCAGGCGAGGATACTGAATTACTTGTAAAGAAAGACGCGCAAGGCCTTCGCATACTCTGCACAATCACTTGCCAGGTTCAGCAATGCTCCAGCTGCTTGCGTGCTCACCTGCAGGCTAACAAGCTGCTCACCTCCAAAGTAGCTTCGACCATGCTGCTGCCTCTGGCTCAAAGCTGGGTTGCAGGAGCTCACAGAGCTTTGGGATGGCATTGCACTTGCTGATTGCCTGCACCATCACTTGGTCATCACGTGATTGGGCATTGGCATTGGAGGTGCAAGAAAGCAAGGTCCCAAGCCGCAGACGGACCTAGCTTCTGCAGACATTGTGATGTGCATCAGAGCGCCTTCACAGCGTCCCGCTACAGCAAGGAGAGGGTGGGGAGGGGAGCTGGCTGGGGGGGGGGGTGGGGACAGCAGGATACTGACACCTCACCTGGCTCAGTGTTCTACAGGCGTTCTATAGAACCCGCTTGAGAAGCCCCATCCGAAACTGCACCCAGCATTCTACCCTATCTCTGCTAGCAATGGTTTTTGGGCGGATAGCACCAGCAATCGTGACCCTGTGGTCGCTAAACCCCTCCAAGGCCAAGAACATGATCCAATGCCATCTGCCTGCAGCATTTTCCTGTGCAATGTCGGACGTGTTCTTCAAGAGCTCTGCGAGCTTTGGCACTGCGCCCAAACGTGCGATTGCGTCCTGAGCAACACATGAAGCTGCATGCAGGCCATGTGCTTCAGCAACCAAAAAACGTCAGACGTGATGCCCTGCCATTCGTTGGAGTCTAGACTGTAAGAACCCGGCACTGTTCTTCTCGTGGCCAACTGTCAGGTTCCAAATTGCGTAGGCTGCTTCCTGGGCCGGCGTCACCTAGGCGGCTTTCCCAGCAGAGCAGAGATGAGGACCTGCAAAGCTTGCACTGAGGGGGCTGCGCCACTGGATAGTAGATCCACGAGCTTCGAGAAGATCTCTGCCTTCATGCTGGTACCCACATCGCTTAGAAAAACTTGCTTCGCATCACTTAAGACTTTAAGGCAACTTGTATCAGGGCTTCCCACCAGGATCTTGCTGCTCCGCACAAGGTTGACGACAGGGTTTGGGCATGGAATGTGAGGTTTCAACTCCGTTCAGGGGGCTTCGGGCTTGTCATTGGCCACATCTTTCAGATTGAGGGTCGACTGAAGTCGACATTCTTTCAGAACTCTAGCGTTGACTACCCGTCTTCATCGTCTGCTTATCGCCAGCATCGTCGGGAGAAGCAAGCGCGACGGAGGGACATCTATGGTCTAATTCGGGAGAGCCTTGTGCTACCAGGAGAACATTCTGCAGCTGGGAGCAGTCCACTACAGCAGGAAAGTCGGTTTGGTTTTCCACAGCGTCACAGCGGCAAGGGTTAGGCAGTGAGATGGCAGTGTGTACTTGGTGCACCACCCGTTTTGTGTCACAGAGGTGAGCCACAAAAGTTAGCCAGGATGCTACTCTTGCTACCATTACTGCCACGATGTCCAAGTTGGGACTACAAGCGCGATGAAGCGGAGAAACAGGGAGTTTGCAAGTGTCACAAGTTGCTGAACATTCAGCGACAACCATGCCCTGTATCATGTGCCTCCGCGAGCTTGTCTTGATTCTCAGGACTTTCATGACCTCGTGGCATCACACAAAAAAAACGCAAGGTGCTGACGAGCAACGGTTTGGCTTGGATGTTTGGGCACGAAAGAGTCGCAGAGCTGTGGACATAGATTGCCAAGCACAGCTGCAGACATCTCCTGCCGAATAACAACACGCAACAAAGCCATGAGAGCTGCCTGAGAAGCACCAAGAACTGCCTGAAGCGCGGAGTCCGAACTCGACAGGAGCTGGCGAAGGCTTGGCACAGCGCCGCCAGCTATCATCTCAGGGCATGCCGATGTGAGCGCTGCAACTTGGCAGTCGCCACAGTACACTACAGACACTCATGCAGTCCCTCGCTGCTCTGGGTCTATGAGTCTGTGAGTCTTCGTGATGGCTCAAATGCGCCTCGGTGCCAATGTCTGAGCCGGGCTGGGAGACACCGGCATCTGTCAACATGAGCATCAGCTTCAGGGCAGCCTCCTGACGGAAGGCAAAGCGTCCTTTGCAAGCCTTTTGCAAAGATCTCTCCGCAGCCTGGGTTTTGCTGTCCCCCAACATCTTTGACAAGGGTGTGGCCTCAGTCTGGCGACTCATGAGGCTGTCATGATGGGCATGGGCAGCAGCAGCAGGAGCGACTTAAGACTTCCACCAGTCCTTCGCTTGCAATCTGTACACACAGCCTTGTGAGGCAAATGATCCAGAAGTTGCACAATTTGAGCACAGCACGTCGCGTTTGGTGCTGCCAGCGGCAATGAACATGAGACGATACAATCGGAAGGATGCTTTGGCCGGCACTCCGACTTACAGCTCACACGACTTCACAAAGCAACATGAAGAGAACGAGGAAGCTGCTCATCTTCACCGCGCAGCTTCTCCTCCATTTGACTCACGGCCTGAAGCTTCGTATGATGGCGTCGGTTCACACAACTGCAGAATGCCGAGCCTCCACATCGCCGGACTGGATACGCCTGCCGATCGGACTGCAGACTTGCAGCAACATGTGCTTACATCCTCTGCTTGCATCCTGTCCTTATTGATACGCTTCAAGGCGTGTAGTGCTCCATACTGCCAGAGTGCAGTCTGCCAACCTGCCTCGCAAGTTCCCTCAGAGATGCGGGTGCTGGCCCTGTCGACTTTGGCGAAACCTCTTCGTGGACAGGAGAGAAGCCATCACGCAGTGCCAAAACATCTGGCATGATGTGCCCACTTCGAAAGACGTGAGAACTGCCTTGGCAGACTGCTGAATCTTGGTCGTTACCTGTTTCGATCAATGAACAGCTTCAACCCAAGAACAAAAAATATTCCAGACCTTCGTCGAGGACGTGGCTGAAGCGCTGGCCTTGGTCTCCTCCAACCAAAGAACAGGGAACCCTTTTCTTTCGGAAAATTTCAGAGTGGGTGTGGCCTTTGGCTCTGCTTTCACGGACGATCCCACATGACCTTCGAATCATCTCCAAGCCAAAGACATTGATTTGCAGAAGAATCGTCCCCGCGTTGCCTGGAAATCGCTGCACGAGCAGAGCGAGCAGGATCGAGTTCTGCCGGCTGCTCAAAACGTCCATGGCCTGCACTCGATCGCAAGTGCTTTTTCACACCTGTGCCCCCAAATGACCGGTTCGGAAAGGCCTTGGGAGCACCATCGACTGCTTCAGCGAGCAACATCTCCGGGAACATGTCAGGCCTGACAACACAGGCCATAGAAGACAAGTTTCACGCTTTTTTCATTGAGACAGCTTTCTTGCAGCTTGCAGCTTGATGCCTCGGAGTGAAGTCTATCCAGGTGCCATCCTAGGTTTTTGGAGTTCAGCCGGTAGTTCCAGCCACCAGCGCATGAATTGAGGCAGGGCTGAGGCAGCGGCAGGCAGAGAATTCCACCAATATCGCTCCGCTACAAACGCCTCGCTAACCCCTTTGTCCATGTGCTCGTACCTTTGCGCAACCATAAACGGTGAAAGAAACAAACGAAAGCGGAAAGGTGCTGATTCTCAGAATTCCGCACTGCCCAGCCGCGCACAACGTCCATGCCAGCGAGCTGCAGCAAGCACACTTCACACACTTTACAGAACTTAACGAGGATCCACATGCATGACCTGCCTTAGCAGCACGTTCTGCATTCGAGAAGCTTTGAAGCGGATAAAACTTCAGACCCTGTCAGGCAAAGTCGTCGCCGAACTTTCGCCGACGTACTTGGCAACGCTTGGCAACTAGTGACTTCCGCATCTTCCGCCTTGACCATCGACAACTGCGATGCATCAGGGCCTTGATGGCTCGAGGGGCAGGGAAGGCTCTTTTCTTTGAACCCGCGCTACGCAACTGGCAACTGCACCATCGCTCCACGACAGCACCAGTGCACATGAAGGGAAGGCTTGCTTCATAAAAACCTTTGCCGATGTGGCGTGCTCTGGGCAGCGGGCCTGGAACCACTCCAACCTACATCTTCCAGTTTCTTGGCGTGTTGTGAGTGTTCTGAATCGAAAAGACGCTGGCATCTGGGCTGCTGCCAAGGAACCTTCTTGCCTGCGCACTTCCCTTTCTTGCCGACTAATTGCTTCAGCGCCTTGCTGGAGCCATAAACGCCGGGCCAGTCCCTCGGAAATCCTACCTGCCAGAGTTTGACGATGGCAAGAGCTAAGCACAGAGTGCCTGTATTGCTCGGTCCCGTGTGAGGTGACTACGGTGACTACCAGAGCTCGCCTTTCCGAGGTGCTCAGCATCTAGGTCGGCAGTGGACACAAAATCTTCAGCGTCCAACCAATATCCCTGACAGGTCTTGGACAATGGTCTTGCAGCGGCGAGTTCACACTGAGTTCACGTGCCTGGCTCTTGCCAACAATTGCTTCTTGGCCTTCTGCATCAAGCAATCTAGCCATTCCTGGGCTGGCAAGTAATGGCAAGTATCATTGTCTCACGTCGCAAAGAGCACGACCAGGTGCTGCTGAAAAGACGAGGAGCTCAAAATTGCGATAAAATCTTCTCTACATTGGTCAATTCCATGCAAAGAGCCAGAACAGCTGCAGACAAGCTCAAGCTGCATCCCTACAGGATCAACACCAGCTGGCATCAGCAGTTCCAGATAGGCCACCTGAGATTCCTGCGAACCGGCTTTGCTTGCTGAGCCTTGGTGTCTGCACAGCAGCAAATCCATGCCTCTGGCCGAGCGCCGCTTTTTTTGCCACCCGACTATCTGACCAAGTCGCACTGTTGTCATTACAACGCGACAAGCAAAGTACTCTGACGCGACAACAGCACAGCCCGAACACCTTCGCAACATTTCTCAACACCCTGGCCCTGGTTCATGACAAGCTCAACTGTCATCGTTCTTGAACATGCAGCCAGATCTCATGCGAGCCGGGGGGGGCCAAGAGCCGACTGAAAGACGATGCAGAGAGTTTGATGCCGGGAAATGGAGACACAGAAGCCCCATAGAAGCTTGGATTCTGCATCCTAGTCCTTAAGCTCCGATTACAACCAGCATGACAGACGAAGAGCCACGCAGCAACAAACAGCCTCCATCAAGGTGATTTGTCTGCTCAAATTCCACATCCTGTTCGATGACAGCCCATCGCACAGAGCCTCACGTCCTCACCCCATCCCAGGCCCCTTTGCAATCATGTTCGGAAGGCAGCCCCTGAAAAGTGACCGACAGAAAATGTCTGCCGAGCGGGCCACCCGTTGGGCCGAGCTCAAACCCGACGATCTGATCGGCGCCTCAGATCCCAAACACAAGGCACCTGCAATGCTTTGCCAAAGCAAGGCAAACAGCGGCAAGCTCGGTCTCACGCGGAGGCGTGCTCGAAGTCTGGCTGCAGCACTGGGCCAGACGCAAGTGGCACCTGGGCTGCAGGTTTCGCATCAAGAGCCATCGTGCACACGCTGTGTTGCAGTCAAGGACTTGGCTGCCATGAACTGCAATGGCATCTTCTGGAATCTGCCCTTGGGTTCACCAACAGGTTTCAGAACAGCACGGAAGACGATGTTTCCTTTCTGTTGCTACGAGTAGCTGCTTGCCTTCACTTGCAGCTAGCCAGAGGCAGCTGGCATCCCACAAGGGCCTGGCGACGTTCATGCTAGCAGAACTGGCAGGAAAGAACAAGGAAGTCGCAGTCAGCCACCCTGAGTCTTCACACGCATCGGGATCTTCCTTCCGTGGCACATCTTCCGAGACCAGCTTCCGTTGCTGGAACACATTCCTTCGAGCCTCTTCCTCCTGCTCCTCAGGATCAGTAGCATAGACAAAGAAGCGAGGCTTCATCCTGTAGCAAACCTCGCAGGACACGCAGGACACATGAATCTTTTGAAAGCTCTTCACGTGTCACACAACAGTTACAAAGTCTGGGTGGCGGTCTTTTTTCCCTCGAGCGTCCGAAGTCACCTTGCATCACAAGTTTCTGGCTGGTGCACCAACTATCATGTTGCACGTGCCGATGTGCTCAGCCTGCCTTCAACGGCAACTGCCTCATCTCGCCAAACGATGCGTGTTGCAAATGAATACGGCATTCTCCTAGAGGCACCATCCTGTAGACACCACGGGACGCTGTTGCACAAGCTTCCCGGACAGAGTCCGATGATGGCACACGTAACATCACATGACACTCCTCTGCAACGCTGCTGCCGACAACCGCTACAAGCAGCTACAGTACTTGCCAGGTCACAACTGGCAGGAGCCCGAGGCGTCTGTACACCCAGCAACATTGTCGGTCGCCGCCATGGTCACACTCACGTCCCCGATGGGCTCATCGCAGCAGGAGGTGACCTTGTGGCTTCAGGGAATAGGAGCACGCCGGGAGGAGTGCTTTCTCGTGTCAAAAAAGGCGACAACTTCTCAAGTCATGAGCGAGTTGCGACGGAGATGTGTACCAGTATCATCTGACATGCGCGGATGACCCAGCCGGGTCTAATGTTTTCGCCATCATCCAGGGGCCGCTCAGAGCCACCAGCTGCGAGCTCTAGCTGTACTGATGCAGCTGGTGAACCCATTTTCTTTACAGTCATGTCCTTAGCTCTTCAGGCTTTCCAGAATAGATGGTGGCTGACGCAAAATTGCATCACTGAAAATTCGTTCGACAGCATTTTGCAGCACAAGAGTCTCGCAGCTGTTCAACTGTGGGGTAATCAGAAATCGAGAAGCTGATCACCTTGCCCGAATCCTGCAAGGGAGCAACACACAGCTGAAATCAAAGACAACGCGCGAAAGGAAGTACCAAGCATCCGTCCAGATGCAGGTGTGCAGTGGGCTGGAGGCATCCCATGGCCACGGGGCAGTTCAAGAGGCGCAGGTATTCGGAACCACCCAGCTCCTGCCGCCGTTCCACAACTCCGCAGGCGCTTGCGACAAGCGGCAAGTGAGCATTGTGAGCACTCCTGGAGCCGTTCGGCGAGCGGAGATGGGTCTTTTGGCTGCCACGCGAATCCAGTCCGCGAGGCTTCAATTTGCAGCTGCGTCAAACCTGGACATGTATAGCTATGGCACTCCTAACAAACCCAAGGTGAACAACTTGAGCACTGTATGAACCAGTGTCCAAGCTAAGACACTACAGGCAGGACGTCCCGCGACTTGATCGCCTGACCTGGGTGCATTGCCGCGTTGCTCTGCCACAAGCAGCATAAACGTGCTCTCAAAGTTACGAAAACACGTCGTGTCGCATCCAGACCTTGCCACGACGACGCCTATGTCTGGAGAGTACACTGTCCACCCATGCCATAAACCAAGCAAGAAACCCCTTGAAGGTAACACCTACAGGGTCACCACCCAGCGTATTCTTTGGTGCAGCTCGAATGTTGCCCTTACCAACATGCAGCACACAACGCGGCCGAATTAAAAACGGGTAAAGGAATGGTAAAGGAGGTGCTCAAACCTAGTAATGCAAACAAACTCGTTGCGAATGCACCAATGGCCCACTGCAGGAATACTCGGCGGGATTCTCGGGACTCTCTCGGCGAGGGCACTTCGGAAATACTCTGTGGGGATTCTCTTGCCGATTCTCTAAAGGTGGACACTTCTGCGATACTTTGCGGGATTCTGCGCGGGAGTCTTTGCGGATACAAGCCGGGCCAGAAGGCTAAGGGTGGGAAAAACACAAGATCGAAAAAATAGCTCGCGGCAGTGCATGCAACAATCTTTCTCTGAGTGCAGATATCGCAAACGCAGCAGGCCTGACTTTAGCAAACAGCGCACAACAAAACCAGCAGAACAGCAAACCCAGCCGAGGCGCAGCACGACGAACTCGGAAGGCTGCGACGCATTGAGAGTCAAAGAAATCTCCTGGCTGTCTGCAATCTGCAAAGTCGAGCACGAAAGCCATTTGCTGTCCCTCCAACATCCTGGCCATCAGCAAGGTACGCCCGCGCGCTTCCGGCGATGCCCAACGCGTCCGAAGGGATGTGATCCTGTGCCGCTTCCCAAAAAAATGGGGACTGGATGCCAACCTCTTTACGCAGACAGTCCTGGGATGCACAAACCCAAACCAAGGATGGCTGGTGACCGTCCTGGCATCTGGGCACTGCATGTGACTGTTGCAGCTTGCGAAACCCTTTGGCTCAGCCGTCCTCTTCCTCCTCCTGTATATCTGGATCTGTCGCGTAGATATACAAACGGACCTTGTAATCGCGTCGGGCATCTCAGTGCCAGCATAGCAGCGATTGCTACGACTGACTACGGCTGGTTATAAGCAGGTCGCATCGGCAAACATCTGGAAGCAGTCCACTCGGCTTGGTATCGATAAGCTTTGACTTTTTCCACAGCCGAAGCTCGGGTGCCTGCATTGGCAGAAACTGAATGCATAGACTTCAAGGTAGCACCTCACCGCTGATCACACTTACAATGATCAGGACGAATTGATTGGAAACACAGCAGGCCTCAAGAAAACAGCGCGCTTTCCATGGGGCAGCATCAGTTGAATGCAGCCGTCCTCACGCACACCACGAAGAACATCATTCTACTCGTATCTTTCCGCCGCTCCCTACAAAAGGGATATTAGAACTCAAGAAAACCGAACGCAGATTTGTCCGAGGTTCAGCCTCCGTGGAGCCGTGGGCCACGCCATCAACTTCTACGATGACACCGCTAAGGCCTTGCTCTTCTTGCGCGTCTGGAAGCAGCACCTGAGCACTCACGCCTCAGGAAGCTCTACTCAAACTTTGGACAGGAACAGCGCCTGCAACTGGATGGGTGATAGCACAGCAGCCAGAAGCTCCTGGTCTGCGGATAGTTCCATGTCGTAGGACAGAACTGGGCCAAACCCACCATTCTGAGACAAGTGGTACACTCCCAAGTCCTTAGACAAAGTGCGGGTGCCACACGTACGATCGGCACCCAGCACGAGCGGCCGAGTGGCACGATCGGCATGCGCACACAAACGAAAAATTCATGAAGTCCGAGGCTCGTCTGGATCCCGCGACAAGCGGTTGCCCAGCCAAGTCCGCAGTGCCAAAGCAGTCGGGCATTCCCGTACTGGGGCAGTCAGCGTCATCTGACGCCCGTTCTTTCCTCCTCCTTGCACTCCTTGGACATGCACCAACACTGCCGGCAGCAGCGCGCCCACCTCAACAGTATGCACCAACCGTGGAAGGTCTGGCCCTTTGCTGTTGCTGTTGCTGCTGTTGTTGGTTGTGGTGGTTGGTATAGTTCCCCAACTGCCCCACCCACCAGGATCCAAAGGTGCAGACTCTGAGAAGGTCTAAATCAGACGTGGCCAGACAGCAAGGACCCTGTCAAGGTAAAGCTCCTGAGAAGGCAGGTCGCAAAAGACGAAAGGGAGAAGGTCCGCGCGTGCTGCGAAAAAGTCGACGTGCTTTGGGTAGTGCGCGAGATGCTCCAGTGAGACGGGGGCAGGGGCGCTCCAGGACGGCCCTAAGCGGCATTTCTCATGGAATGCTTCTTGGTTCGCATGCGCGAGACAAGACTTACAAGACCAGAACCTCTTACAGAATGCCGACGTGGTGTGCGGATTGAGCACTGCCGCTGGAAAGGGTCCTATCACCTTCCATGATAAATAGCGGGGCCTCGGCAATTCTCACGGCGACGAGGGAGATCGAGCTGGTCAAAAGGACTGGGCTGTGGAGCCCTTCAAGGTTGAGCAGAATATCCCCCACACGCGCACTTTTTGCCAGACTCCAAGAATGGGACTCGCTTGACAGTATTCTTGGCCCGATGCTGAGAGAGAAAACCTGCGGATGTCTCCCTGAATTTGCATCCCCTAGGCTCTGCCATACGGTACCATAGGAGTACTTTTGTTGTTCTGTCTGTATGCCTTTCTCGCCTACTTTAGGTGCTTCAAGCTTTTCCCCCTGTGCCGCTAGATGTGAAAAGCCCGCAACCGTGACCTAAGTTACGAAACTGTAACTTAACTGAACAGAAAATGACAGAGTGTATAACGACGCATCCGAGCAACACGCGCTGGACCATCCACCAGACTTGCAAGCATGCAGCTCATGGGCCCAAGTGCGTTAGGAACTCTCTTGCTGAATGCCAGCAACGGGCCAGTCTTCGAAACGCCTGCGGTCCATTGCAAAACTTGTCAGCCAGTCGAAGTGGCAGCTCGAATAACACAGAAGGGAACACAGAAGGGAACACAAATACAGACAAGTCGCTGGTGTCAACCCGAAGTCGCTGCAAAGGACATGGGTCCCCCAATCTGGAGTTGCGCCAGGGCATCTTGGCTGGTACAGACGCATCGATGGCTCCATCCATGCCGTCCACAAGGAGCGTGCCGCTGAGGACTTCTGCCCCCTGGCCAAATCGAGCTCACTGTCGCAAGATGCAGTCAGCACAACTGGATCCCCAAAAGAGTCGCGCCCTCGCTTCGGGAGGAAGCTCAGTAGCCGCAGAAATCCAAACCTTGCATCAGCTCGAACTCACATACAGCTGTACTGTGCAGGGAATGCCGCCCCTGAGGCTGTTCCTGCTGATAAGCATCATCGTCTGACAAGATGCCCTCGTCAGCCTTCAACGCATGCCACAAGGTCAAGCAACTACTGGTGCAAAAAGAGCTGCCTTGTCTGAGACAGGCATCGAGTACACTTGAATCAGAGGATCAGGGAAGATTTCCTTACGGTGGCAAGTGCTGTGCACAAAACACACCTCTCACGACATCTGTGCTGAGGTCGCTGAGGTCGCTGAGGTTGGGTCCAGTACATGTACTTGCTCTGCACCTGACGAAAGACGAGAGACAAATTGATAAGCCACGACTGCATGGACCCCGTCACCTTTCGGATGCACCAGGTGCTCCTGTCGACCTTTGCTTGAGCTGCAGCTCAAGACCAACAATCTGTTCCATGGCTTCTGAGTGGCAAGCCAAGCATCGGGTGACAAACCTCAACCCTGTGGACTTCGTCAGGAACCATCAGCTCGCACCTCCCATCCGCACCTGATGCTGCCCCCATGGCTGAGTAGGTCGATACCTAAACGGTTCAACACGAGGCCTGTGACCCCCTCTGCCCATGGAGAGCCTGCATGATTGTTGGGATGTGTATCTGCTAGCACCGGATTTTCCACCAAAACTGCCACCACGGGCCTGAAACGCCAGAGTCCCCCTGACCATTCCCGTGCCTGCAATTGCACGGCGGGGAAGCACTAGAACGTGACAGACCCGACGTTGGTACCGAATCACAGCCTTTCGCGGCTTTCGCGCTCTGTGCCCAAGTAGACGCAAACAGTGGCACCACTCAGACCTCTCAGACCTCGGACTCATGACAACAGGCGCCACATCACTAAATTGAATGACATGCTCCTAACCCGTGCCATTCCTAGGGCGCTTCTGGGGCCTTGACAGCAAGGTGCTCGTACTAGCACGGTGGTTTCAGCAAGGGCCCACATGTCGACGCTTGTCCACGCCAGCACCTGTTTACCCTATAACTGCACCATCACACGAAACTGTTGAGTTTCTGTGCCTCCGCATCCTCGCCCACTCGCTTCTGGTCGGAGAAAACTCCCAGCCTCTCTTGTGTTTGGAAGCACATGCACTGCCTGAATCTTCCTAGAACAGCAGGTTTAAGCCAGGCACGTGCTGGCAGCTTTGCGAAACCTCTTAGCCATTACCTGGAACCAAGACATCAGGGTGATGATCGACAGTGCGCTACGGCGCAACAGGCCTCGCACAGCTTCCCGGCAGTCTGGCAGTCAAAGGCCGCCACTTGTATGACGCTTGTCATTTGGGTAAAGTGAACGTGTACAGATATTGGAGGAAATAGCCTCGACACAAGTGAAGAACATACCAGCAAGTACTGAAACCACAGCAAACGCACTCGTCAATTCACAAGATGCAACTGTAGCCTCCAGCAGCAAGTCCAACGAAATAATCGTCATTTCATTTTTTGCTGGTCTTATTTTGCACCAGCCCATGTCCTTTGTAAATAAACCTTGTTTGTTTCCCCTGCCTCCTGAATCATTCTAGCAGGGAAACCTCGTTTCCTCTGAGTTTGTTTTTATTGGGTCCAGTGTTAGTTTAGGAGATCAACCGTTCCTTCCTCGTGGGGACAAACATAGCTTCCATTGCTCTAGGCTGTAGACTTCGAAAACATTCCTCTGCATTTTTTCGGCCAATTCTAGCATCTACGATTTAGGTCCAGGTTCCCTGGCCAGCCTCTTGGGGCGGTTTAGAGTTGCGTCTCCTTGTTAGGTTTCCTTGCCAGCATGTCTTCTTTACTCCCAAACAGTCCAAGCACCAGGCATACTAAGGTCTAGGAAGTGACCACTCAGAAAACCAGGACACCGGGGTCCAACACCACGACCCTACGGGAAGGGCACGGTCCTGAGCCCCAAGAAGGGAAACCCCTGGACCCTGTAAGGGAAGGCCTGGGTTTCATGAAAGAACACACGGACTCTGGAAAAGATACCGGTGCAAGTATTTTGCAGGCACTCGCACGCCATGCCCAAAACATCTACATCCCTAGAAAATTCGAAAAAAGCCTCAGGCTCCATCCCTCCCGGCATCGCAGGGGCTCGGTAACCGTCATCGCCCCTACGCTTGGAGCTCAAGCTGGGAAAGCGTTTCGGAAGCAACGATCCAGGAAAATTTGTCGCTAGGGCGTCCAGATCCAGGTCCCCCAGACCTGGAGAGAGAGCGAGAGAGAGCGAGAGAGAGAAAGAGAGAGAAAGAGAGAGAGAGAGAAAGAGAGAGAGAAAGAAACAAAAAAAGGCACTGACAAAGCCAGCGTGGCGCGGTTGAGGTTCCTCACCATTCGCCAGGCGCTGCAGGCATCACAGCTCCCCAAAATCGGCGCAAAGCAGCCACCCTGAATGATCGAAAAGCCCCCATCAACATCCACTCCGACGGCTGTGTCGTGTCCCGATGCACTCGGGGCATTGCTAGCGGCTCAGACCCATGAGGAGCGAACGGCATGTGCAGTTGTAACATGCGAGCTCCAGCAGGGCACCCAAGGAGCGAAGCGCGCGCACTTGAGAATTCGAGGGCCAGCAGGGCACCGTGCAAGCAAGCAGCCCGCGTGCGCACTTGTAAAGTGTGCAAGGCCCAGCAAGGCGCCCAACGAGCAAGCAGCGTGCCAGCAGGCAGAGCGCGCACTTGAAAAGAGCGCAAGCAATGCAAAGTGCGAGGCCCGAAAGGGCACGCAATCAGCGTGCAGAAAGCAGCGGGGCCCATGAAGTGCAAAGCCCAGCAAGACATGAGTGCTTCTTGCCTTCCTTCCCTGTCCTTCCCGTCCGTCCCGTCTTCCCTGCACTCATTCCCTCCCTTCCCCATTCCCTCCCTTGCCTTGCTTAGCTTCCTTTCCCTTGCTGTTCCCTTCCCATGCAGTTTGTCCTACTTTCTACCATCTATACCGGGGGTCTTGTATCAGAATCCAAGGAAACTACAAAAGAAATGCTGTCCATCCAAGATGCCGCCCCACAGACATGGGCTTTTCAAGCAGGCGCTTCCATGCAGATTGTGTTCCAAGCAGGCTTTCGCTCTTCTGTCGCCAAACATACCCAGTGGCGGAGAGGTCCAGCGCAAGGCCTTAGAGCGACAGCGACAGCCAACATCATCAGATCACCGGGGCACTCCTCGCTTCACTTTGCGTTCGACCCGCTGCAGGTAAAGCTGCTCAGGGTGAGGGGTCCGCGCTTGCCCTCCAGCGCATTGGAAAGATCCACCGACCTTTTCCATCACTCGCTGGGTGCAAAGCACACAATCTCAAGCTGAGCTATCCTAAAGCAAACGAGCATTCTCGTGGTATCCCAGCATGAGAGTTCCGTGACAAATAATTCCACCACTTCATTCCGCTTCTTCACATCCGTGCCGCACAGAAAACCCCTCTAATGCTGCAGGCCTCAACGTCTCGCCATCAAGTGGAGCCTCCAGGGTGCCCGACTGATCCGACAACAGGAGGGTTCCTGCGACCGGCCAAGCTGTCAATGGCAGATGCTCTTGATTCGCACAAAGCCATACCTCGGCCAGTTCTCAAGAAGCGTGAGCTGTGAGGCATCGTATTTAAGAGAAGCCGCCAAAGGCAACCAACAAGTGTTGAACAGAACCGGGGTACGTTTGTGGGTGCGGCGGCTCCTTTCTCAGAGTCTGGTGCTTGCAAATAAACAAAAAGGCATGCCGGCACGGAAAACTCCACGCGCGACTCCACCTCAGAAACATCAATCTCCATTTCGTCGCTGCCTTCGTTTGACATCCCATGGTCAATCAGCACGTGGTGGCGCCCAGCAGGGACAATTAGCTCGCAGACGCCGGCACTGTCGGTTGTCGTAATTTCATCTGAACCCCGGAGTGCTACCTGCACATTGGGAGCTCCGAGTGTCGTGTTTCCAAAAGTCACATGGAGGAGCAGTCGCGCCATGATCTTCAGCTGCTGCCCAGCAGACAAGAGTGCAGATCCTTTGAGCAGAGACGCCCCGCCCACATTTCTATCCACAGAAATCTCTGGCACCGTAGACTCGGCAGCTAAAGACAGAGATGTGTTCAGCCCAAGCCGAAGCTTTCGTTTGAGGATCACAGCTGCATCCTCGACAGTCCGACAATCTTCCAGAGGTAGCACCCAAGTCTCCTCACATATATCTCGCACATGCACCACGGGTCGAAGATGTCCTGGATGCAGCAGGCCAGCATCTTTTGCTTTAGGGTGGCTGCATGCACTGGACCGACGTTTACAACGTCCACTGTACCGGGCCTATCGTACGTGGCTCGCGCACCCGCAGCAACTCCTCAAAAGTGCAGGACTCCAGGTCTAAGCAAGACTCCCTGCAAAAACATGCAGAAACTGCTGTCTGGCTGCCTCATAAGCGCACGTGCCCGAGGTGAACCTTGCCATTTCCAACATGTTCCAACTTCGGCTACAAAACTTAATGAAAACTCCAGAATCGTTGTCCACAGTGACAAAACACTTTATGAAACTCTGAAACTCTCAACCAAGCGACGCTGCGGAAGGGAGCCACTCGTATCCGTTCAACTTCACTTGAGCGTGCGCCAAGCAAATGATGGGACACTCCCCTGCTTCCGGAAAGGTTCTCAGTTGCGAGGGCAAGATTGCATCTGGATCCTGGGCGCTTGAGGCGCTTGAAGTCAAGAGTTCCTCTCCACGCCCATCACAAATTGTTCCAGCAAACGGTTCTGCGTCCGCCGGAATCAGGACAGAGTCACCATCACCAACCAATACCTGCAAGACGAGCTGATCGCTCGGCCCTGGCACAGTAAACACCCGAACCAGCGGTTGAAGGAAAAGCGGAAGCTCCCCTGCTGATTTGGGTTGGGAAGTGACGGTATACTGGCAACAACCACCCATGAATGCAGCATGGTATGCGAACACCTCCATCTCTGCCTCACATAAGTCATCACGTAATGCACAACCACCAGTACGGTCAGTGATTGATTGTGCATGATCCTTCCCAAGGTCAATCTGGATTCCGGCCACCGGCTGACCGCAGCAGATCGTACAAGCCTTGACAACCAATGAGGCAGCTCCAGGTTTTGTCGGCAGCGGCGCTGCCGGCCGCACACCCAGAAGCCGTGGATCCCAGCTTTGCCTTTCTGCAGCACAACATGCTCTGCGCTTGCAAGGCAGCGAAGCGTTACGGTGCTTTATGAAGGAGATAAAAGGCGTCCAGCCGGAGCGCACACCCGGGCTGCCGCGAGAAATCGTTTTGGCGAACGGCGGCTCCAAATCGAACATAAGCAGAGGGTCCTTCACGCATCACCATGTTCAGCAGAAGCAGCAGATCATGCAAGGCTTGCCGGGAGTCCTGCTCTGTGCCAGGCGGTGTCTGCTGGTTTTGCTCATGAAGTTCACGCACGGGCTCGGATCCAAGGACGAGCACACCTCGACTGTTCAACAAAAACTGGCGAGAAGCACCGTCAAAGTCACAGGACCGGGCCGTTGTTGACATCCAGCCTCAAGATGGTTGATAAGCGTGCAATTCAACAACGAGTCAGATTCATTATGACACATTCATGCCAAGCAGCTCCTGGCCAGAGAACCAGACTCTGCCGGAAAACGGTTCAGCCAAGCTGTCCTAGCAGTGATGACATTACGAAGCCTGATTTGCTTGAAATCGCATGTGGCTAGTAGCCGACACGTCCACGAGTCTAGGATTCTTGTCATGCGTTGGCACTTCAATGTTTCCGGGCTCTCTACTGCCCTTTGCGGGATTGTGGGACAGCTGCAACCGCACCAGCTGCGCTGCCGCGCTTGCTCATGCTTCGGAGAAACGATTACACTACCTCACGCCTACCCAGCGTGCGCCAACTTGCTCGTACTCAATTTCACGGCGTCAATGTTAATGAATGGCATAGCACGCGCGAGTGCAGCATCGCAGCCGCGATGTTTCCAAAAGCGAAAACACTTGAAAACCAAAGCCCCAACGACAACGACAACCAACTTTGCATTCATCCAAACATGGATCCGGTGCAGGGTGGACTTTGCGCAAAATCCTATGTTTCAGAGCTTTGGTGAAATGTAATTCAAAGTGTGGGCTCTCAACTCGTCATTGCGGCTGCTGCTGGCAGCATCCACGACAAACATGCAAACATTGCACAATTGCATCGTTCCGGCGAGGCAAGCCCACGCAGAAGGCCTCACACTTTTGCTAAGCAACGCAAGGATGGAACCCTACCCTCGGGACGGTGCTTTGGCATGGCAAATGCCGGTTGCAGAACCGGCAGAACCTTTCATTCCTTAGGCCTGACGGGTTGGGGCCAAAGAACCGAAAAATCGAATTTTCTCCGCAAGCTTTGAGCATGACTCATGGACAATGCATTGCATTGCAGAATCATATAAGATGCCCCATGACAGTCATGCGAAGTGGCCATGCACAGAATCTTCACCAACAGTAAATCCAAAGACAAGGAGCAAACAGGAGCAATTTTGACAAACAAATACTTTTCAACAAGTCTGTGCGGGGGCACGCCCATGCATGAACACGCTACTGGCTCCTTGCGAGGTCTCTTTCCGCAACCTCCGATCCAGTACTCCCAAGCCCGCACCTGCTCATTCTACAACACTCGGCTGAAAAGAAGGCCATCTCCGTGATTTGTTTGCAGTGCGAGCCTGCCCTGCAACTAGAATGGGGGTCATCCAGACGTCAAGCTCCATCGCCATTGGAATCTGGAAGAGGGGCGTCAAAGATGAAACTTTTACAGACCTCGGCCATTCTGAACTTCCGGCAGTATGTCGCACGGCAAAATGCTTCTGGGCGGCTGTTCTTTCCAGCTGCCCAAGAAGTCATGCCGCAAACGAAGCTTCTGGTCACCAGGCCTTAGTTGACACATCGTGGGCACTTTTCGTTGAAGGCAAGATAGTCAGCTCAGCGTCCGCAGCGCCAGCGTACACCAACCATCCTGCGAGGTCTGGACCTTCAGCTCGAGCGAACATCGACGGCATCCTTTTATTCCGCCACTAGGTACTATAGTTACAAGTACTATAGTTACTATAGTTACTATAGTTACTGTAGTTACTATAGTTACTACAGTTACTATAGTTACTGTAGTTACTATAGTTACTATAGTTACTATAGTTACTATAGTTACTATAGTTCCTTTAGTTACTATAGTTACTATAGTTACTATAGTTACTATAGTTACTATAGTTACTATAGTTACTGTCGTTCCTATTGTTACTATAGTTACTCTAGTTCCTGACCCACCTGGCGTCTGTCGGCGCTTTCCACTTTGACAGCCGCCAGCGGGATCTTCCTTTGGGGCATGACCACCTGTGCAGCTTCCAAGCCTCTGTCACGTCAGTCATGGCCAGTCCATAGAGTCCATATGACGGTAACCCACCTGAAGCTGCGCTTCTGGAGCACGCAGCATCGCAATCTCGAAGCTCCCTCGAACCAGGATGTCCTGAAGGACATGTCACTTGACGGGCCCCCAAAAAGAGTCTGCAGACTCCTGTACCTTCATGCTCCTCGATTGGAGATGGTGGTGAGGTACTGCTGGGTGATACCCTTCTACCGCAAGGCGACCTGGGGGTCTTCCAAAGACACGCGTTTTGTCTTTGAGAACCGGATGACTAGCACAGTTGAACAGCACAGAATTGTTCACAAGCATGTTCACGGGAATTTTCGTCTCGGATGGCGACGCATTGCAGCAATGGGCGTCACGTTCGGGAAATCGCCCGAGTGCCCGGATTGATCTGCCTGCATCCTTTCCTGAAGCTCCGCCAGGAGGTCATGCTTCGCAGCTTCAGCCTGGCAGGAACAGAAGCACACCTACGCAGAGCTCATACAGTACGAACATGTACGAGCACTTACAAACATTGCTGGGCATGCGGTCAGGCTGACGGGCTTCTGCAGGTTCACATTCACGACATGCACCTTGGTGGATCTAAGAAACTCGAAGAAGTCACTCCCTTTGCCGGGCCCTTTTCTTCAACCCGGGGCCTGGACCTCGGCCACTTGTAGAAGGTGGGATGGTCTCTTTCGCGACGCAACTCTCAAAACCACCGAGCCGACGTCAGATGGCTCAGAATCTGCCGGAATCTGGCCATCCTTGCAGGCAGCTGGATGCAGTGTGAGAAGGCACGGCAGCTGCAGATTTTGCTCGGCCCGCCTCATCCAGAAAATGAAGCGTGATTCCAGCTATTCCTCGATCGGCATGGCCCTCCAGCTTCTCGCAGATCGTGCCGATAACTTTGGCCATGTCCTGCGAGACCGTGTTGGTTTACTCGCACGGGCCTGGGTTTTTTTTAGCTCCAAGAAAAAGTGCGTTCTGCACCTCCATGCTCTGGCACCGGACATGGCACGACAAGATGCTGCTCGGGCTCAGCCTCGGAAAGGCAGAGAAATAGGCAAAGAGTACAGGGATGGCCACCGTGGAGTCGCTGAAACGCTGGGATCTTCACTCTGGAAGCACGCAGATCTTCTGCAGCACGCGGGTGGATCCAGAAGCACCCGCCAATCTAGCCTTTCATCTGTCCGAATCCCTTCCCCCTTTTCCATTGCCTGCATTGTGCGATGAGTGCAATGTGCCAAGCCTCATCGACCTCGGCACCGGTCGCATCAGCCTGAGAACAATCTTGGAATCTGGCCATCGATCTAGCAAGCAAAGGTCGATTGGCGGAGGAAGGCGGAATGGCTCATCCAACTGCGAAAGCTCAGACACTGGCCACCTCACGACAAAATGCCTCCAACCACGGCCTGTGTGAGTGAGGCGGACTGACAATGCATCGTCGGCAAGAAGATGCTCAGATACCCTTTATCTGCAAGGAGATGACTGAGCTGCTTGCTTCATGCTTGCAGCTCCGACGTATGCTGCAGCAAATGTCTGCAAGCATTTCAACATGCAAGGTGGCGTCAAGAGGGTTGACAGCAATTACCAAATATCACATTCCTTTAAACTTCTTTCAGCACCTTTGCCAAGGAATCTCGTGCACTGGCTGCTTCTGACAGGCGCAGCCTTGCATGCCCAAGTGTTTAGATGCAAAACCTACGCTGCACGACTCTTGGACGGTCCGGGGGCCCGCACTCCTGTGCGAATTGCTGAGTTGCCGGTGTGGCACAAGCGGAGTCGCAAATTCTGACCTTGCCGGTGACAGGTGGGAGCAGATGGGATGCGGTGCGGGAGAATAACACACTGCAGAGAACAAGAACGCTTCACGGATAAACGCAGCATAAGGCTATCGTAAGCTTTTCACGACCTCCTTGAAATGTGGATCATCCATAGCAGCCGCCAGGCTCTTCACATCCTCGGCCTGGCAAGAAATTTGCTACGAGAATGCACAGGCTACTGAGCTACTGGAGGCCAGCCTCAGACCGCTGCCCTGGGGGGTCGACCTCCAGCTTTGCTGAATTCTCACAGTTCGAAAGCTTTTCTGGCTTGGGCCTTCCACAGCTGGCTGGCCGTCTTCAGAAAAGTGCTGACAAGGCCAACTCCTTTCTCCAGCAGCTCCGCAAAGAGCCCAGCGTCACCTTCGCCACGTCACACTCTATCAGCCTTTCACAGCGCATCCCGCCAAGACCCACAAAGCCTGCAGGATCCATTTCTTGCTCTGGCTCTGGCTCGCCCGCCGCTGTGCCTAGCATACAACCAAAGCCTTTGCCAGGTCACGACCATGGGATTTGAATCGAACCTTCCGTGTCTTCGAAGTTTGTCTCCATTTTCGAGATGACATCGTGAATGGCCATCAGGATCGCACCACAAGGCTGGGACAGCAGCACCTGCCACCGCAGATCACCGCGGAGAGCGCGCGCGCGCGCGGTTACCAGTCACTCCCGCTTACTACCCATCAGAGTGATGTTGGCCTCCTCAGGCTGCGCGGGCTTCACTGGAAGCCAACTCCTTCAAGGCGATTGAACATAATTGAACATAATATGTGTGTGGGTGTGGGAAGACGGGCAACTTGTCAGATCCACAGCTCCTCCCCATCTGACCCCTCATAGAGTACGGAAGCAAGTCGGAGAATGATTCACGAAATGCGGGAACCGAAATGAAAGAGTCGTCCCACCCGCACATACCCGCCGCACCGCCAGCAAACACGAAGAGCACGGCACGACTGGCCGAGTCCCCACACAGGCTGGGCACGATACAATCCCCTTGGTGCGATGGGGATGTGCCCAAGACTCCAGGCACGACCCTGGTGATTGAAAATAATATGCGTCAGGGTCAGCGAAAGGAAGTGGGAGAAACACTGGTGCTGCTTTTCCTGTTGCTCTTGCTTCAACTGTTCTTTCTTGCTCTTGTTCTTGCGTTTGTCGGTGGTCGTGTTCGGGAATAGGTGAGTAGCTGCCGCAGCTGCTGCTACTGCTGCTGCCGATGCCGCTGCCGCTGCCGCTGCCGCTGCCGCCGCTGCCGCTGCCGCGGCCGCGGCCGCGGCCTCCTGTTCCCAAGCGCCGCCCCCTGCTGCACCAGATGAAATACCACAAGAAAGCCTCAGCAGCCCTTGCGCTGCCGCTAGCGTTCGCGATGATCACAACAACGCCCGAGCATCTATTCATGATTATTCATCTGTGTAGCCCTACTGTAGCCCCGACAGCCTCACAAGTCCCGAGGATGGAATCTGGCAGCATAAGGCACCGGTAACATCGCATCCAAAAACCTGGGGAAGAAGCTTTGACCAGAGTTTTGCGAAGTAGAGAAGCGAGGCTTAGCTCTGGTCGGTCGGATACGTCCGCGCCTTCCTGTTGCACTGCCACTTGATCGTCACACACATGGACCGCGAATGCTGCAACTCAGGGCAGAACCCATCAACTGGAAGCACCTGTCAGGTTCTCAAGGTTTTGCGAATTTTGTTGGACCCTCAGTCAATTACATTGCAGCGAGCACGACATCTTGGTTAAAGTGAAAAGGACGATATCAACGCACCATGTTCGCGCAGCATTCGCTTGACAATGTGTCTTCTCCAATCTTTGCCACATAGTGCACCCGTCAAAAGGCCCCGAAAGTGCCACTGCTTCAGCCTTCTGGGTGAACATATCGCAGCTAGCCAAACAAACTACAGAAAATGAGGGTGCAAAATGCCTTGAGACCCTAGATATGATGCAACTTGCTATGCTTACTGCGGTGCCCTTGCAGGAAAATATCTGTCTCACCTGGACGCCCTCGAAGTGATGTGTCGCGCCACGCCATGGCACGCGGAAAACACCTGAGCATCTCAATGCTTCAGCAGTGCGACACTTGACAGAACTTGTCTCCTTCCAGCCGATTACTTGTTCGCAGCCCTCATTCCGACTGCCACCTTGCTGCGTCAACGGATTTGCATGCTTGTGGCTCCGGTCGGTGTTGGCATGCTTGCTTTGGTTGGTGTTTGCGCTTGGCAGGCCATGTTGACGATGTCAAGGTGTGGACTGTGGGTTGATAAGCTCCACCAGGCATGGAAACCCAGATCCTTTGCAGCGTGTTGGAAATTAAGTCCGGCAAGATTCGTGGCCCCAAAGAAATGCCTGTATGCCGAGCCACGCAGACATGTCAAGGGTGGACCAAGTTACATTGGTGCCGAGGGTGGTTATACTGCTACTCCGGTAGAATGGAGGTATTGCATGACTTCAATGCCTTACGCTCACAATTTGCATGTTGTAAACTTCGCAAGGAGCCACCACGGTGGTCTTTCCCTTCAAGTATTTGGTGCATGCCGTTTCTGCCCAATCACTTCAGGAATTTGCAGCGTGCAGGTGTTGGTACACCGGAGGTGCTGTTGGCACAGGAGTACGTGGCGCCATGTTTTGGCTGCTCGCATGTATAAGTACAGAAAAGAAACACCACTGATTTGGCATTCCACACTTGACAGACTTAACAAAAGGAATGGCAAAGAGAGCTGTGCCGGTGAGTGGCTGGAGCATGGTCTGGACTGTTTTTTTAAGTTATGTCTACGCATATCTGGCGCAGGAATGCGGTCGTGCCGGGTCTTCTCGTTTGGTTACTCTGCAAGTCGGCTTATTCAGGTTTTGCTGTCGCATCGGCTTGCTAGGCCACGGTTGGTCACTGCACCGATTCTGATGATGCCACACATGCAGCCCTCCTGGGCTCCTGGGGGGTTTCCCCAATGGTTGGACTCTTGGGGGCTTGTCTATGCAATCTCCCAGCTGGCCTCACGGGAGGAAGAGATGACCATTCGCCCGGGGCCGAGGGCGGTTCAACAGGCAATGCGCATGTGCCGACTTGAGAAGATGCACAACAGAATGCCCAACTGGAAGACACCGTGGCCAAATACTCCGTTGGGTACGGCACAGTGCTGGTCTTGCGATGGCGGGGTACGAGATGCCAGGAGTATAGCAGTCTGTGCAACGGGCTCTGCGCCATCTTCCGGCTGCACCAAACCATATTGATAAGAGGCCGTCCTTCTTTCTCCCGAGTCCTGCTTTCACTCGTGGTTTTGCTTGTAGAATGCAGAAGAGAAGAAGAGACACTTGATCTCATCTAGAACACGGAGAATTCTAGAGGGAACAGAGGCTGTCGTATCAAACTGTAGGGGAATGGATGTTTCATGGTAGCGGAACAACAGCAAAAAAGCTGGGCCCTTGTGTATGTATGAAATGTCTAGACCACAAACACCGGAGTTATGTGAGTCTTCTTGTTGGATGAAACACCGCATTTGGGAACTAAATCAGCCCCTGTGACTAATATGAGATGCCCCCCTACTTATTCTTTGCAGGCCTGTGAACGCGATCGCCTTCTGAAACTCAAGGGCTTGTGGTAAAGACGCAGAAGCGAACGGGAAAGACCGACACAAATCCGCCCTTAAGCCTTCCCACTCTGTATTTCCGCTGCGGGTCCCCTGCGTGTGTCTTGATTCGACATTTGTCGAGTCTCGCGACGAACATGACACATTTTTGCTCGTCTTCGGCCACAGTTCTCATTGTCTTGTGAAGGCTTGAAAGAGATGGGCTGTGGGAGGTCTAGGGTTGGGTCTTTCAAACTCAAATACAATCTAGGGGTTACAGGTTACAGGCGAGTTGCTGTTAGCAATTGGACAGACTCTGTTTGCTCCCACGAACATTCAATGTGCAACCATGCTTTCACCACATTTCAGTCAACCATAGGCTTGTCTGAATATAAGTGGGGGTGGAGTGAGTGAGCAGTGGCGATCAGCGCAGGTTCGGGCCTGGGGAAGTTTAAGGTTGCTCATTGCAATTGCTGGAGGTTGTGCCAAGAATTCACTTAAGGACAACGTCACTTGTCATTCAAGATCCGCAACTACAATTCTTGGCTTGGAGCTGCTTGGGAGGACGTGTACAGTGCGATAACATGGCATTTGGACCTTCATGAGCACAGCATAAATATCGAAGATAACGGTTATCAGGCTGCGACCATCAATTTGAGCAACCTCGCCACTTGCCAGCTCCACCTGACGAGCGAAGTGCTAAGAACATGTCCGAATGGTCAGTCGACGAATCTGCCAGAGATGATGGGGCGAGTTCACCACGCATCCCTTCAATGCGTCCGGGCCTGTCCGCGCAACGGGCGTGCTGAGGAGGGTATGCCGTTATTTTGTTGAACATAGTCGGCAATGAAGACCTGCAGCAACATCACCAGACACCTTCCATTCCCGCTGGTGCAGATGTTGCGCCACACTCCCAGCCGAGGGCAGAACAGCAGAGCCTCCTGCCCGATCGATGCACCAGAGGCGAACAACCTCGACGTCCATGTTACCGGCCGGGAGGGCGAATTATCTGGAATGTTGGTGCAACACTGGGCACGGGGCAGCGTCTCCCGCAAGCACGACTCGAGCGGTGCAATGTGTAAGGACCAGCCTGAGCTCCTGCCATCTCGTCGACACATGTCGACACGTTCGTCGCGATCTCACTTGCAACAAAGAGTGTAGGCCTGCGTTTCCAGCACGGGGTGCCTCACAATCATGCGCATCTCTGCTTTCAGCGGCACCTGGAATTTCACCATCTTGACAAAGGGAATCTTCGACGAAGCTGGAAAGCCACTCAAAGGGCCAACTGTGACCGAGGTTGGGACGCCCTCAATTTGACAGATACCATCCTGTGCACAGCAGTGCATAACCTGAGATGCAAGGTGGAATTGTCATGGGGTTGGAAGGAAAGCTCTCGAGAGCAGTGCAGTGTCATCAACGTTGGATTCCCTGCACCAGCAAGCGCATCAAATGTCATAAAATGTCATTAAAGGTCCTCATGATCTGGACGTGCGTCTACTTCTATTCATTTGTCTTCCTGGCCACAAGAACGACGAACAGTTAGATTCGATGCGAACGCTGCATGAGGTTCCAAAACCTCCACCAGGCCTGCTTTGCGGAAGCTTGAAACCTAGAAACGCAAGGATTTGGGACCACGGAATTTGCACGTGGGTGTTGCCTGTGTTTCTGCTGCCAGACTGAGCACAGGTCTGATCTCTACGTCGAAATCCGGCAAAAGCTGCCCGCCCGCAAGAACCACCTGCCGTCGCAAGCTGGAAAAACATGTCCAATTTGTGCGGCGCAACGTGCCTGTAATTCCAGAACACCGCGCGGGACCCTTGGCACCAAGGCATGTATGGTCATGCCTCTTGCCGTCCCCGTCCTCATGACCACCATTGCACACCATACTAACTTGGAGCAGGCTCGGAGGTGGGCGGGGGGCCGGGGGGACAGAGGGTGGGTGGGGCGGGACGCTCTTTTGTATCCAAACCTTTGAACCGCTAGTGTCCACGTACGCTTATTCGATGGTCCTGAACAGAGAAGCGGTGCAGTCTGGGGCGCTCGGGCTTTGGATGGCACATTGTGGACAGAATGCTGAACCAGATCGGCCGGATCTGGGCAAAGCACAAGCAGCGGAAGTGAAGTGGAGGCGACATTCCTTTCATCCACCCCAGAAACTGGAGGAGAGGGAAGAAAGCAGGGCACAGCGAAGACAGGCAGGCTCCGAAGACCGAGAGTGCGGGCAGAACGAATGGGAACGGTGGCGGATCCTTCACAAGAGAGCACACGGGCGGATGCGCCGTGATGCACATGTCAGCCTCGGCTACAGAGGAAGCAGGCGGTTCCGTCGAATGCCGTCGCGAACAGGTTAACTCGCGTCAAGTACAGCGGTCAGTACTGGCCCGTTACGTATGTATGCATATGGGATCAACGTCAAGCAGAGAAACAACCAGGAAACACCGGTCGGAGGCAAGGCGACGGAATCGTCAAAGAATGCAAGGAGCAATGGCTTGCCCCCATTCATATTCCGTGAGCATGCTGTAATCGGCACCCGTCCCGAGTCCTCATCCGCAGAGACAGCTGTAATTGTAACCCCAAGCAAACCAACAGTGTATGGAAACTCATCTAGGGTTCCCTGAAACTCGGCAGGATGCTTCAGCTGGCATAGGCAAGACAAGTCTGCAGAACGAGCACCATGTGCAAGGACAATACCGTTCACCGCATGTAGAAGCTGTTCGTCCCGGTGAAATTTGAAGCCAGCCTCCGTTTGGCTACAATATCTTCTGCGAGCTACAACCTTCGATGGTGCAAAGTCGCTGGTGGTGGTTCGTTCGCAAGGGTCTTTAAGATTATCGCTGTGCCTGTATTTTTGAAATACCATACGATAGCTTGGTGAACATCGATGGATGAAAGGAAGATGTGGGGCAACCTGTGTTGGGAGCCTCCGAAGAAGAAGCCTTTGAACATCTTTGAACTGCGAAAGAATCATCGAAGAGGCCAATCACAATCAGCCGCAATGCCAGGACAGTTCGTCCCGCAAGCTGAGCCATCGCCCCAAACACCGAATGACAGTCAGCCTTGAGCGGCAAAGATCCAAACCCAAAAAAACCCTGCGTAACCTCCCTGAGCGCTGTCAAGGCGATCTGTGGCCCCTCAAAAAAATGCTGTGTAAAGCGGTGGGTTTTGTTATTAAAAGGGTGTGGCTCGGGTCTGTTTCGAAATCTGGATGCTCTCGCCTAGGCGCGGCTCTCATTTTGGCTACAAGTCGCGCTCCCGCCTAGGCGCGGGCGATCTGTACAATTGGGGATTGGCTCTGAGTACTTTCATAGGGAAAGCCAAAGAACGGGCGGAGAGGAACGGCCAGGGCGGCGCGAATATGAAAAGAGCATCACTATGCTTCACGTTCAGGGGCCGGTACAGGTCTGCCAATCTTTTCATCAGCAGATCTTGAGTCAACCTTGGCTTGGCCAGGTCTGCCACAGGTCTGCCACAGGGTGCGCCATGCTGGTGGCCGTTAGGGCGCCAGCCAGGCATTCGAAGCCAGCTTTGAATGCAACAACCTGCCACGCGCTACAAACTTGCACCCTTCCATACAATATATACACTCGCACACCTGCATCTTTGCACACATGCATACTTTTTTGGCATTCTCTTTCCAATCTTTCATGTGTTTTGTCCCCATCTCGGCTTTTTTTCTGAGCCTGTAGCGGATCTACGATTGAGTAGATAAAATGTGATACATGTTGGGGCCCTCAATATATGGCCCCTGTAGTTAACGCACCGAAAAGACACAAGAAACTGACCGTATTGATATGGCTGTGGGCCATACGGGAATTAACGAAGCTCCAAAAGTCGGCCGAAGCCACAAACCAGAAAAAGATAGTGGATTGGCATGCTTTGACAAAGTGAAACTTAATGCCTGGTGCATGCCCGTTCGTGCCAGGTTAAAGTCACGTGAGGTAACACTGCGGCATCGGTAAAGCTGCAGCTGGACAACAGCAACGGAGCAAAAAACACACGGTAGGATCAGCTAGGATAATTCCAAATCGGCAACTGCAAGCATGCCAAATGGGAAAGGAGGGGGCGGCTTGCATGGCCTGCCTGTCAGTGTCGCAACGTGAGGGGAAGGTGCTGCGCATGTGTTGTTTGAGAGGGGGTTTCATCTAGTAATGCTGGTTCACTACGGAGTGCCTGCATTCTCATGCATGGGCCACACAAACGTCTCCACACGTGGATGGGTTTGCCGAGGCCATTCTAAAAAGGCAAGCCGTAAGTCCCACACACAACGCTGTATCCGCATGGTAGCTCCAGAGTCGCCTGAAACGTTTCACTTCCGATCCCCGCCAGCGGTGTATTGTTAGACCTGCTATGATGGCAGTTACGACATGTATATGTCCTGATATGCCATTCACCTTGCCACCCATCTTGCAATCACTGCTGTCGCATGCTAAGCATTGCACTCCATGTGACTCGCTGCCTTAGCTAGTTTTGCGGCTGCATACTCTGAGTCCGTCCAGTTCCACTCGCCCACCTTACCCATTAGCTCCAGGCGTTCTTTCGGCTGAGGGCTGGTGCTGCCTCCAGGTAGTAGCGCTCTGGGTTTTCCCGACCCATCAAACGGCACGCCTACTTACTCACATGCGGCCTGGGAATTGAAGTCTACCACGAAACCTGTCATGAATTTCGAGGCATGTGTCTGCGACCGCAAGATGTATCAAGTTTCACGCAACCACAAGACACCACAAGGATCCGGCAACTTGACTCCCATTGGAGGGACCAACAAATACACCTGGCCACCACACAAAGCATGGAAATGGATATCGTGCAACGCAAACCTTGCCTCGAAAGCACCGACACGTGAGCCATGATGCCAAATATCTTGCCCCAGCTCCTTATGCAGCGTCAACAGGCATCAGTTGTTGTGCTGAGCGAGCTAGCTGCGCATGTGCATGCGCACAAGTCTCGCTTTCAGCCGCCCACGTACGAATTGGAAAGGCAACGAGGCTCTACCTAAACACGATTTCTTATATGGCAGAGGCATCTCCGCATCCAAACAAAAGCACCAGACGCGCCTCGAGCTTGCATGGAAGCTCCGCACTTCCCAAAACCACATCTTCCAGCTGAAGCAAAATATGCCTGAAACAAACAGCTTGCTAACCGAACTGGAAACAGAAGAAAACATGCATTCGGACAGTGCCGGGCCCAAGGGTTGACGAAGCTCTTGTGGCATATTCTTCTTCGTCGTGACCTTCGCTGCATGCAGGCAACACAACCTCGACCAACAGCAACACAACATTCAAGGCCATGGCGGGTTGACAGCCCATGATGCGATCGACAATTATGACAATGTTCCACAACTGCATAAATCCCCTTCGCGTCGTGGACCTGGACTTGGGCAAAAAAATTTCATGCCTGTCCGTTGCATAGGTTATGTGACAACGCAAAAATCCGAAAATCCGAGCTGGCAACTCCAACTCCTTCGTGTTTTAACACCTTGGGCACACACCCCCTACCAACTGGCCTGTCTGAAACTCATGAAGCTCCGTACCAACACTTCCAGTTGACGTTCAAGATTCTCAGCGACATTACTGTCCACCACGCTGTACGCATCCTCTCCGCCATCCGAAAATAAGAAACGATCCACTTACAATCGTGGATTTACAGATCATGGATGCTTCTCCCGGAGCTCGCGAACTTGAGCTGGCAGACCTGGCCTGCAGCGACGGGATGCGAAAACATGATTCATGAAAATGTCAGACCATTGTCCCATCCAAGGGTCCAGCAGCAACAAGCGCTTGCGAAACGACCCGGCGGCAGAAAATTGCGACCGTAAGGTAGCTGTTGAGGAGGATGCGCACAAAGCCTCAAGGCATAAGCTTGGCTTGTGACTCCAACCCAAACTGCCAAACTGAAAAGCAGCCGTGTATTACGCTCTATTTGGCCGATGGCTAAGCAACGTACGCCCGCACCCCGTGGTCGGCAGCCAGCTGACCAAGAGTCCTCCGTAAATGTTTGCGTGTTCCTGTAAAGATTGCTTTCGACCAAACATGACTTCACGGAAGCAGCTGACCCATGCAAGCGACCGAACTGAAGTGGAACGTCAACATGCACTATGCTTTCTTTTATGCAAACGTTTGCATGAATTGGGTGCGGTTTCATTTTTTTGAACAGGCGTTTCGTCCATAGGGAACGGAGCTGGTGCCCTAGCGCAGCGGCAGCCCGAGCTCCGGCTCATGGCCCGTGGCCACGTGGGGCAGTAGCCACGCGGAGCCCAGTGCCGTGCCAGCGACGCCGCGCTGGACGGCGACAGAGCGCATGCCCCACCACAGCCGCGCCCAAGCCGACGAGGCGCTTGCCCAGATGGCTGCTGATGGGGCTCACAAACGTGGCATCACAGCACAAGGCCATGCCCTGCGGTAATACCACATACACGACCAGGTCAAGTCGTCGGACACGCCTGGGGCCGAAGTTTGCGGCCTTCCGCTCCGACCGCCTCGCGGCAGACAGCGAGCCAGGCCCGCTCGACGAGCTCCGCCCGCCCAGCCAGCAGCCCGGTGCGGGTGCAAGCTAGAGCGTGGTCGCCCCACGCATCAAGCCTTCTGCCACATCCGTGCCCCGAATGGCCGCATTCACCCGGGCCCAGCCGTGAGCCACGCTGCAGCCCAGGGCCGGCAGCGGCACGCGTGCACGAAAGTAAGAGGTGCGACGCGTGGAACTGCCAGCCGTGAGGCCAGCCACCAGGACCTGCGTCCCGGGCCGGGGCAGATGCACACGAGTCATCAAGAAAGGACTCCCAAGTGGGGCAGGTATGCCAACCTTCTGCGCGAGGTCGCCTGCGGCATGAGCCGCGCACAGCGCCGGGCGTTCAGGTCCGGCCAGAGGGGGGGCATCAACGCCCAGAACCAATGTTAGAACATTTGCAATGCTCAGGGCGGGCACCGGACAGCCCAGGCGCCGCCGCCTGGCAGAATATGTGCAAACAAAAACTTTTTTTTACCACCAGGTACCACCACCACCAGGTGCCACCACCACCACCACTACCAACCACCACCACCACCCGGTACCACCACCACGTACCACCACCACGTGCCACCACCACGTACCACCACTTGGTTTGCCGCCACACCACGCACAACCACGTACCACCACCACGTACGACCACCACCACGCACCACCACCACGTACCACCACCGCGTACCACCACCACGCACCACCACCACGTACCACCACCACGTACCACCACCATGCACCACCACCACGCACCCTCACCACGCACACCACCACCACCACCACCACCACCACCACGTGCCACCACCACGCACCACCGCCACGCGCCACCGCCACGTACCACCGCCACGTACCACCGCCATGTACCACCACCACGTACCACCACCACGTACCACCGGCACGTACCACCACCACGTACCACCACCATGTACCACCACCACGTACCATGACCTCGCACAACCACCACGGACCACCACCACGTACCACCACCACGTGCCATTACACCACCGTACACCACCACATACCACCACCAACGTGCTCTCCGTCTCCGTGCAGCAGGCGGTACCAGAGCTGGATGAGGTCCTGGCTCTTGCTGACGCGGAGGGACCCAGCCGCCTGCCGCTGCGCTGAGCATCGGAGTCGCCCGTGACGTAAAAAAAAAGACGCGGGACCCAAAAAAAATAGCTTTTCTTTCCCCCGCACACTTTTTCCACCTGTCGGAGCGCGGTCACAGTGCAAGCTACGCTCAGCCACGCGCCGGGAGTCGGCTCAGGGCAGCGGCTTCAAGCCAGCGACCCTCTTCGAGCACCTCATGCAAAGCCGGGGCTCCGGCAGCAGAGGCGACGGATTCGAGGGGAAGCTCGAGGAGGGAGGCGGCAAACGCCCGCTGCGCCGCAACGGCGATGAGGCCACTCCAGCGGGCGACGTAAGCGGATGTAAGCGGCGGCTGCGGAGGAGCGCACCGCGGCATGGAGGCTGGCAGCGCGCGCACGGGCAAGGAGCCGCAGGAAAGTGACGGCTTCGGTCCCCCATCGGCCCCCGACCTCAAGGCCGAACACTACCAAGTGGCAACGGCGGGCGCGTTGCAGTTCAGGGTAAGTGTCACGCCGTTTCCGCTGCGTCGCAGCGCGGATGGCTGTGGCCGGGCGGGAGTCAGCCCCTGGCCGCGCCTCTCCGGCCCGAGTGAGAGGGGACACGAGCGTGGTGTCAACGGCTAGCTGGGCCCCGTGCCACAATGTCAAGCCGCTGCAGACGATCTCGATGCGGCGGGCATCGTGGACCGGCGTCAGCAGGTTCATGTCAGCCAACCGCACGTTACGCGCGACGCGTGCCCCGGCCTCTTGGCAGACGCAGGCAACGGCACGTTCGAGGGGCAGTGTCCGAGATGCAAGGGCTCCGGACGTTGCGCACGCCGCGCGATGGTCCCCAAGGGCGTCGAGCTACCCGCGGCAGGAGCAGGCATGCGGGGCCAGGGGCAGTGGGAGTCGCAAGCGCCGCAACAAGAGTACCCGAAACTCAGCACTGGGGATGGTCAGCCCTTCGTGCGTAGGCCGGACGGTGAGGGCACGGGCAGCATGCGGGCCGGCCTGCGACAGCAGCAGCGCTCTGGATGCGGGAGACAAGGTGGCGAAATGCATCCGGAAGGCGCGCTGATCGCAGGCACGGGCAGCATGACGCTGCCAACCGTGCAGGCAGTCGCCAGGTTGGTCGGGTGGTCCATCAAACTCAACGGGGGCGGACTGTGCGACATCCCAGGCTGGCACGTCGCAGCCCTGGGCGCGAAGGAAGTCAGCAGCATGCGTTGCCGCGACGACACTAGTGGAGCCAGCAGCGCCAGGATGGGCAAGCGCCTGGACAAGGTTGTCGGCTACGAGTGGTGACCGCGCTCGCACAGCTGGCAAGGAGTCGATCCAAGATGCCCAGTAGGCGGCATGACGATCGACAACGGCGGAGCGAAGCCCCCAGTCCCCCATGCCGCAGGGCAAGCTGTGACGCACTAAGCGTCTCTGCGAGCAGCGGCTGATCGGCCTGGTCCAGGAGCGCAGCGAGGCACGCTGCTATGCCGTCATCATGCTCGGTGGCATATTGCACTGTGACGGGAAACCGCGACTGCGGAAAACCACGGGACGGTATGACCGGGTATGACCGGGTATGACCGGGTATGACCGGGCATGCCCGGGTATGCCCGGGTATGCCCGGGTATGACCGGGTATGACCGGGTATGACCGGGTATGACCGGGTATGACCGGGTATGACCGGGTCTGACCGGGTATGACCGGGTATGACCGGGTATGACCGGGTATGACCGGGTATGCCCGGGTATGCCCGGGTATGACCGGGTACTCGGGCGCACTCGGGCGCACTCGGGCGCACTCGGGCGCACTCGGGCGCACTCGGGCGTACTCGGGCGTACTCGGGCGTACTCGGGCGTACTCGGGCGTACTCGGGCGTACTCGGCCTGCAATCGCGGAACGCGGCCGCAATGGCATATTGGGCGGTGAGCGCTGGGGGCACAGATGAGCTACATCAGACCACGAACTACATCCAGGGCACATTGCGCAAGAGGTAATTCGCCCGCGGTACGGCACAATAGTGCAAGAGTAGCCATGCAGCCTGCAGGTCCGGAACAGTGGGGATGCAGCGCAGCAATCGCCCGTGTTCAGCGCTCCGGGCCGCGAGGGCGCGCTGGACGAATGCATCTGTGCCAAGGGGAGTGCCGAGGACGATGAGGCCTTGGCGGTTACGCGGCAGGGACCAATC